TCTGGACCGCGCCTATCGACGCAGCCCGCTTTCTCGGCCTCAGGCTCACAGAGTCGGAGGATGAAGACGACGACACATGACAAATCTGGGGGGTTGAGCACTGCTGCTACAACAACAACCACAACGACATACAGACGAGCCATCAACGACATTCATAGAGTCAGTTACTACCTACCTCGACTCTCGGCCTATGAATACCGTAATACGAGCCCAATCACCACCTGTAGAAGATACGGAGCTTCAACTGCCACGAGAGACCCGCGTTACCCTGGCTCAATTACGGTCTGGATACTGTGGCCGCCTTAACAGCTACCTGTCCAGACTCGACCCCAATATCCCCAATGAGTGCCCGGCATGTGGAGAGTCCCCCCACGACACCAACCACCTCTTTCATGCCAGCTTAATCCGACTCAACTAACACCCCTCTCCCTCTGGTCCGAACCCATCGAAACAGCTCGTTTCCTGGGCCTCCCGTTAGTTGAGCTTGACGACAATGATTGAACGTAGACCGGAAAGAGGCAGGGCTTAGTAGTGCCGCTACAACAACAACAACAAACACACGCACTTGTGTTTAAAAGTAATTCGCTCGGTCTTAATTGGGAATGCATTTTTCATGCAATTCTCAAGTATCTCTACGCTGAACTTAGTGAAGTGATAAATCGCTGGCATTTTCAGCTATGGTCAACGCTCACCCAGCTTGGTTATCACACGGTGCTTTAAGCATCGCTCCCACTCCACCTCCCGGAGTAATTTTTGGCATGGTAGTAAGTTACGATTTACAAGCCACACTGGGGCTCTGCATGAATGCGTCCCTGAATAAATCCCAGCTCATTGTACAGCAGCCTACGGCATCTATTGATGCATGGTAAAAGGGTCACATCTTGCGCTACCGCTTCGTCAGCCTGCCCGCATATCTCACTCTCTCTCTCTCTCTCTCGCATAGCAGGCATTTGGAGTGCGTGGTTGGCTAGATATACACCTATACACCATACGGGCTCATTGAGCTCGATACATAACTGCTCGCAAAGGTAATCCCTACTTCCTCTACTACTCTAACATCATACCATGATACAAAAATAGAAGGTAGTTTCTTTATTAACATTCGTTGTTGTTGCGGACCACTTGACTTTTAACAAGTTTATGACATTTAACTAAAATCATGTTACCAGATTCCTAGCAGCAAAATTTTTGTTTCTTGAAAAAAAATATATATATTTTCAAGTTAGTGAAGTTGGATGAAAATACTAAAAGAAAATTCTTGCGCGTTTCCGTTTATCGATATTTCCGTAGATAGAGTACGTAATACGATCTAAAGCAGTTTGATGACAAATTGCTGACGCAAAATATTTTTAAAACCTCTAAACGATGTACCATTATCCGTAGAAGAAGGAGGTCGAGTTCAAATGATGCCCTGCAACTTGTAATTGTACCAATATATATACATACATTAATATGAGCACGAAACTATGTATTTGTGACAAGAATTATCCACATAAAATGAAAACTACTGCAGTTTAGTTTTACAAAAATAAGACAGTTCGGGTACGGTTCTGTTGTTTGTACAATGATGTTGGGTTATCGTGTCCAAACGCGTTACCCGAATCAAGAAATTTTAGCATTTGGGTCTAGTCAGAGGATTAAGCTTTAATTTAACACAAAAATATTGATTTGAAATGTGAACTTATTTTGTTAATTTGGACGTCGACCTTGCGCAAAAATACTGTGGAAGGCGTAACCGGAGTTGGACTGATGAGGTTATTTTTTATGGCGCGGCCGAAGGCCACCAATGCGGAAAAGAGTTTTGCGCAAAAAATACTGCCGATGGCCTTAAAGTTTATACTGCGCTCTTTCCAATGAGTTTTAGCTGACACACCCCTTTCGGTAAGTGTCTTCGGCCGCACTTCGGGATTATAACCCTCAGGCAGTAGAATTCTCCTTTCTGTGTTGCCAAAGAAAGGGGGCTGAACACCTTTTGCAAGGACCAACTTTCATTTACTCCATTTATTTGCATCAAATTCATCAAACCATGGTGCGAAGAGTGCAAAGTGGAAGTGTTTTTTGTGAATAACTCTTAAATTAATTAAAAATCTTAATTTAACCAGCCCCCTCCCCATCCCGGATGGTTATTGTTCGCGTTAAAACGCGTCGATTGATACCACTCTCGACTTGTTCCGTCCATTTTGACCTGGTTCCCGTAAAGTGCACTACTACCCCCTTTTCCCCTCCGCTCCGCACTAAAAAATCATTGTACAAATAACCGCCCTCGCACAACATTATGGGCTGGTTTCTCCAACTCAACTTAACTTAGTTTAGTCACTTTTTGGACTTAAGTCAAAAGTTATCCTACGTTTTACACAGCTTATTCTTGGCTAAGTCCAGAAAATTGACTTAACTAAGTTAAGTTGAGTTGGAGAAACAAGCCCTAAATGTTTGATTGCTATCAATGTGGCAAGGTAGCTCATAATTTTGTACAATTTATGAACCTTCAAAAACTTTTTTGTCAAAAATTTTGAAATGAAACTACCTTAAGAATCATGGTTCAATAATACAAGGTTGTGTAATTTGTGACAGCTAAAATTTGACACTCCTTTATCTAGATTTGTATTTTGGAAGTAGGAGAAAGGGGAAGAATGTGATCGCCTTTTGCGAAAACGGTAGTAGAAAGGTACTACAAAAAGTACGCAAAGTATACAATTAGAAGTAGAGGTGTATTATTAATTCTAAGCGAATTTGCAATATATTTGGTGTTATAATGGAAATACTAAACAATACTAAAAAATATGCATTTTTGATTTCAGTTATTCGTCATTTGCTGGAAAAATCTAGAATACCGACCGTTCAGCTATGATTTGTCTTCAGCTGATGCACATAAACTATAGCTTTTTGTATTTTTAAACCAAAACCACTAAAAAACGAACAAACGTTATATTTTCATGAAATAACCTTTTTTGAAAAAACTGCATAATTAATGGTAAAGAAATAAATATTATTTAGAAAGTACAAGTTGTTACCTTTAATTCGATATTACATATTTTGTCATTATCTACTTTTGGGTTTCAACAATTTAGTGATAATAAAAAATGAAGAATTTTTGGCTTTACTACTAATATCATTAGAAACTGTAGAGTAAGCAACATTCTGCACAAGTAAAGGAGCCGATTTTATGTGTGGAAGCGAGAAGACTGTTTTATTACAAAACCTTTCTATTATTGAATCATGCTTAAGAATTATCTTTATATCATGCATACATACTATTTCGGTTCTCTAATGGAAAGTAAATAAATTTATAAACGTGCTCCTCATTGTTAAACAATGAAGTTAATATAATATAAAATAAATAAACGTTCAAAGACCTTAACTTAACTGAAACGTGTGTTCTGTACACTTGTATTTGATTGAAATGGTTTGTTATCGTACATTTAACAACAAATTACTTATAAACTATGAGTTTCCTCACCGTTCGGTTTTCAGTTTTGTGATACGTACGACCCCTCTACACCCCCGTCATTTTGTTCTAGGCGTGGTGCACTCTCGCGAAGTCAACCCAAATTATTAAACGCGTTTTATATTGTTAAAAAATAAAATAAAACACATTAATGTATATAAAATACACGTGAACACGAGAAGAAAGTATATCTATGATAATATAAGTGATAAGTGCACTTTTTATATGAAAATTTGCGAGTGGAAGTTCAAAAAATTTGAACAACAGGTAATTCTCTAGGGTGGGGTAACAACCCCTAAAAAAGGTGCGGAAAAGTCGGGAGGGGTACCGAACGACGCGTTTCAACCCCCCTAATAACAATCCGGAGGGGGGGAGATAATATTATTAACCATTTAAAAGTTATGAACAAACAACTTTTGCTAAATTTCGTTGTTTTCTATGGGCAATTACACCGACAAAGATTCAATAAATCACCTGTTCTCACTTTTTAAACACTATTAAAATATATAATTTAACTCATTTATTAAAGAAACACATAGTTTTATCAACCTAAGATAGATTATTTTGTTATTAAAAAGAAGTTGACAATCTTTGCGAGCTGAAACGCGAGAATCCAAAATAGCTATAGTGCTGCCACTGTATTAGTATTTCGTAATAATTCACTTTTCCTTATGAGATGTGTGCACTGTTCAATGCTTTTCGGTATCTTCTTTCGTTTTATATATAAATAATGAAAATTTTTAATAAAAAATCGCGCGATTTTTTATTAAAAATTTTCGTCTGCGTCGCTTTTTCCATAAAAATCAATACATCGATAAATAATGTAAATTTTTAATAAAAAATCGCGCGATTTTTTATTAAAAATTTTCGCCTGCGTCGCTTTTTCCATAAAAATCAATACCTCGATAAATAATGAAAATTTTTAATAAAAAACCGCGCGATGGTATAGCGAAATTTGCTATTATATTTTGGTTACAATATCTTATTTGGAGCGCAAATGAAATGTGAAATAAAGTGGCAATACCAGCGATTTGAGGTTATAATAATTTTAGCAGGCGCAAGGTTTGTTTACTCTGTTTTATTAACGAAATATATAAAATAAAAGTGAATAAATGATTTGGTTTGCATAAAATAATAACCGGAAACGTTTTAGTAGTGTTTTAAAAGTAGAAACTGGTGATTTAGTGCATTTTTGACGTGGTAATTGCTCATAGAAAACAACGAAATTTAACAAAAGTTTTTTGTTCATAACTTTTAAATGGTTAATAATATTATCTCCCCCCCTCCGGATTGTTATTAGGGGGGCCGAAACGCGTCGTTTGGTACCCCTCCCGACTTTTCCGCACCAATTTTAGGGGTTGTTACCCCACCCTAGAGAATAACCGAACAACAAATTACTTAAATACTAGTACACATTAACAAAGTGGAAATAGTGAGAATTTATGTGAACATATCTGTTTCTTAGCATCCTCGTAAAGTTTCATGAGAAAATTTGCGACAGTTTTGCTAAAGCACACACATGTCGATGTACACTAAAGTCAACACGAATATTTACCTGGTGAAGTAGGGTTAAAACGAAATCACCAACGGCGGAGTTGCATTCACGAATTAAAAAGACACCATCCTCATGACATTCTACTTGCGTTGAAATGTAAATACTTATTCAATGTCTTTTAAATACAAAGTATTCAACAATTCTTAGCATACCTTTTAATATCTTCTCAGCACTCTCCCGTGAAAGACCTGGATGAAACCAATTGATTCCGGGCTCTTGCGAGCTGCCCATACTCAATAATTTATCCTATTGTTTTAAACAAATTATGAGTGGTCCTCCTGTGTATGTCTAATTTGTGCACCTGTTGATTCAAACAGTTTATGATAAAATACAGGTGACTGCAATGCTCTGTCGCACTTAATTTTTCGATTTTAAACTAAAAAACCTTTTGCTTCACCATCACGGAGAACTTGAAAATCACGTACAACGAATAAAATATTCAGTAAAAATCAGAAAATAAACCTATTTAGGAATGAAACCAGTATATACAAGTACATACTCGATACTTTTCCTTCGATACCCAGTAATTTTGGTATCGATAATTTTGAAATACACTACACAGTAAAGCTGAAATTAGGCAAGAACGCAGAACGTATACTTAAACGCAGTCTGTATACGCAGAATTTTGTCGATTACTGGAGCCCTCAGTGTTGCTTACTACTTACCTTTTCAACTACAATTTTTCGTGCTAAAATAGATCGTAGCTATACCCTGCAAAAATCGTTGGACCATGTAGCCTATTTGTGGTATATTGGAGTACTTACAAAATTGGACCTCTGTCATGCTGTAGCGGACCAACTCGTGTCTCTGCGCCAGCTTATTGTTTGTTATCCGATAACTGCTCGTGTTTTAACGAAATGCGATTGAAGTTGAGCATTTGAAAGCACATTTGCATGTCTGGCTGTAGCTGCCCTAACCACAATTCATATAAAAAATATGGTCCAATTAACATTGCGATGTCCTAGGGCAGGACCGTATACTCCATCCCTGCATTACATCAGAGTAGCACAAAACTACTCCAACATATTAACAATTGCATTGTTGTTATATTTTTTCGTTTGTACACGCTTTTGTTCTTCACTTCTCAAATGCTTTTTCGAAATTAATAAAAACCAAGACAAAAATTAAAAATTACATGTTGCCTCTGACGGCATTCGAACCCGAACATGCTGGGAGCTAAGAACTAACAGCGAGCATCTCTACACGTTCACCCTGCAAAAATCGTTGGACCATGCAGTCTATTTGTGGTATATTGGAGTACTTACAAAAGTGCCCCGCGGTCATGCTGCAGCGGACCAACTCGTGTCTCTGCACCAGCTTATTGTTACCCGATCACTGCTCGTGTTTTAACGAAATGTGATTGAAGTTAAGCATTTGAAAGTACATTTGCATGTCTGGCTGTAGCTGAACGTGTAGAGATGCTAGCTGTTATTTCTTAGCTCCCAGCATGTTCGGGTTCGAATGTCGTCAGAGGCAACATGTAATTTTTAATTTTTGTTTTTGGTTTTTATTCATTTCAAAAAAAGTATCTGCGTGTACAAACGAAACAATATAACGACAATGTCATTGGAGTATGTTAGGAGTAGTTTTGTGCTACTCTGATGTAATGCAGAGATGGAGTATATGGTCCTGCCCTTGGACATCGCAATGTTAATTGGACCATATTTTTTTATATGAATTATGGTTAATTTTGGAGTATACCTTGGTCCTTCGGGTGTACTCTTTACATGCATGCATGGAGTAGTCGCGATTTTTGCATGGTATATACACATTTCCCGCATTTAGCTCTAAATGCTATTTTAAAAGTACATTTTCCATACAAAATTAGCTTAAAAGTCACTTAAATGCAATTAACTTTAACTCCATTTTTGCATAAGGAATCTAAACGCTAAAAGTAACCCTGTGATCTTCCAAAATTTTCACGATTCGAACATGGTTTAATGAGAAAATGTGGCAACATTACTTTTTCGAGCATACAGTCGCTAGCTGCGTTTCAGTGATCGCCGATCGAGATTTCCTTTATTATTTTACATTATTTGGATAAGGAAAAGTTGCGCAAATTCAACATCGATCTGATGCTGATAGAAATCTGGATCAATTTGTGATCAACTCTGTTTGCTTTGTTTTCTAATTAAGTGAGGAAATTTTTATTGACAGCACCGACAAATGAATATATACACAAACAAATGTTCGGTTATGGTTAAAACAATTCAAGTTTTTGTATTGAATTTTTGGTTTAAAATTTATTTTTTCCTTTTCAGTAGGGTTTTTGCCCATTATCTTCTGCATGAGAATTGATCGTGATAGATACGGATCTGAATAAGAGTCTGGAACACGGCAGTTTGTCAAAAGCATACGATTTGGAACTCGCGTAAATGTACATTTGCTAAATGCAATAGCATGAACGCTCTTCGAAAACATATGTTCGAAAGTGCTAAATGTTGCATTTTAAATGCAGCAAAAACGCTGCATAATGCATGATCTAGCACTTTCGAACATATGTTTTCCGTTCGGGACTTCGACATCGTATGCTTTTGGTAACCAGCCGTGTTCCAGTCGCTTATTCAGATCCGTATCTATTACGATTAATTCTCACGCAAAAGATGATGTGCAAAAAACCCTACTGAAAAGGAAAAAAATTAATTTGAAACCAAAAATTCAATACAAAAACTTGAATTGTGTTAACCATAACCGAACATTTGTTTGTGTATATATACATTTGTCGGTGCTGTCAATTAAAATTTCCTCACTTAATTAGGAAACAAAACAAACAGAGTTGATCGCAAATTGATGCAGACTTCTATCAGCATCACATCGATGTTGAATTTGCGTAACTTTTCTTTATCCAAATTATTTAAAATAATAAATGAAATCTCGATCGGCGATCACTGAAATGCAGCTTGCCACTGTATACGCGAAAAAGCAATGTTGCCACTTTTTCTCATTAAACCATGTTCGAATATTGGAAATTTTGGAAGATCACAGGGTTGCTTTCAGCATTTAAATTCCTAATGCAAAAATGGAGTTGCATTTAGTTGCATTTAGGTGATGATTTTTGTATGGATAAAAGTACATTTAGAGTAGCATTTAGAGCTAGGTGCGCTTATTGTGCTTTTACGCGTAAGCAAAAACAGCCCATAAGTCTGCGTATCGCGAGTACTTCCACCGCGCGCATACCACAATTCCATACACCATAAAAACTTGAAGAAAAATGTAAGGTTTACATCAATATAACCAACCGCTCAGCTATAGGAAAACTAAAAATGCAGATCGATAGTACTTTTTACGCTGATTTCAATTATATAAATATTACTTAGTGCAATTGCAAAGAAAAGAACTTATAAGAATTAAAAAAAATTAGATGTTCTAGAATATTAACATTTTCTAAACAACGTAACCTATTAAAAAGGTAAAGATGTCAAAAAAAATTAATTTATCTTTAAGCTGATATATAAAATGTGTATACTTGTGTGTATAGTTAAGCCAAAAATATTAGAAAACAAAAAAAAATTTGAGCTTGAGGCCGTTTTTAATGAAAAACTTATTGTGGAAAGGCCACAATAATTTGAAAAAATGGTAGAAGTGATAGCTATATCGGAAATCACCACATTTCCTCATCAGACTTCTTTCAGTAGGATTCGAACCGACGATCCCACTGACTCAGCCAGTTGCCTACGCACTGTGCTAAGTTCGCCTTGTAAATTATCGTTGCTTTTTCCCCACTTTTTCATTTGTTAAGCAACACAATCAAGCGCTGCTATTCCGCTGTTGTTCACACTTGATCATGTGGTTGTTGGTTCTGTTGGTTTTTGTTAATAATTATATTTTTAGAATGTTTAACTCGTAGGAGTGCTCGTCCTTAAGTTATTTGTTTTTTGTTATTTTATGGCCTTATAACAATTATATTCAAAAGCTCTTATTGAGCTTGAGGCCGTTTTTAATAAAAACTTATTAAAACGGCCTCAAACTCAATAAAAATTGTTGAATATACACAAGCAGTCGAACGGAACGGACGTGTCTCGTCTCGCAATAATCTCAATAATCGCAAAAATCCAATAATCGCTTCAACTTTAATTCAATTTCAATCAATATAGTTAATCGCGGGCCAGTGTCCCTAATATTTTCTGCACCTCAAGTTTGGCGCTGTGCAATTATTATTTATTTATTCATCGGTAAATTCATAACAAATTGCGTGTTAATCGTGATGTCGGCTACCACGGCTGCTAAGGATAAATTGTCTGCCTCTTCTTCGTGCGTCGACTGAGCAAAGATTTCCCCGCTGCTAAAGCAGTTAAGCTCGACGAAGGTAACTCACTCGCAGCTGTTTTTGGTAAATAAAAAGAGTTTGGGGAGAGAGTTCAGCAGCAGACGGAACAGTTGCGACCGCTGATTGAGAGTGTCTCAAACAAACTGGCTGATCGAAGAAGAGATATCTGTCCTCACTGCTACGGTGGTTGAGTCGTCTGTCCGCATATCTGTCTTGGAGGGGAATGTGCAAAAGGCAGAGGCAGACATCGCTTGCATTAAGAAGGAGTTGGAAGGTGTAATGCAACGGAAAGCTTCAGCTGATATTGCTGCCGATGCTGTTGCTTTTGGTGTACCCTTTAGAGAAGGTGAAAACCTTAAGAGTATTTTTAACCAGGTTTTTCTTTCTATTGACTTCTTGGCTCCTCAAATAAGGGATATTTTCCGCACAAAACCGTCAAGTGAAAAACTCAACAGTGCGATTGTGATTAAATTTCACTCCCCTCTCCACTGTAACCGCACTTTACGGGCCTTTAGCGAATATCGCAAGAAAACAAAATCGGCGATCCCCCTTCACCCCCTTGGCATTGCTGGCAGCTTTCATATTTTTGAGAACCTCACCAAGGAGAATAGACGTTTACTGCAAGAGGCCATAAAACTGCGTCGTGAAGGAAAACTGCTAAAGGTGTTTACGTTTAGAGGTTTTGTGCATGTGAGAGATGCCAATAATAAAAATAATAATAGCACATCAACAAAGTTAATCAGCGTAGATGACCTGCTGCCGTTTCGTTAGATATTTTGTTATGCATACATTTTCAAATGTTTTTGGTTGTATTTTATATTTTGTAAAGATAGCGCAACTTGGGTTATTTTGTTTCTGTTTTTCGTGATTTCTTCACTATCTTAATGTTGCTTTTGTTTTTGTTATAGCAGTGTTTGCATTATTCAACTTTGCGTTCAACTCAACGCAGGGTTGCACGAAAAAAAAAGTTTAATGGCTAAATGTTGGCTGGCGACCAACTTTGTTGAAAGCGATTAGTTGAAAGGCCATTCAACCAAAAGTTGAATGCAAAGTTGAACAATGCAAACACCTTTTTATGGCGAATATTTTGATATTTTTTCATATTTTGATATTTTTAGCCATTCAACTTTTTTTTCGTGCAACCTTGCGCTGAGTTGAACGCAAATGTTCAAAACGCAAAAGATCGCAAGAACGCAAAAGATAGCGCAACTTGGGTTATTTTGTTTCTGTTTTT